CGGAGAGCGGCTAGAAAATGTTGGTAAAAAAAAACAGACACAGTTTGTGTCTGGGTTTTTATTTTTTCAGTTTGAACACAAAAGCGGGTGAAGGAAGCAACTGGCACTAAATGGTGACAAACAAATTAAATTTTATAAAGTGCAGCGCTAACATTCAAAATCACACTAAAAGATTCCTCTATATACACCTGACTTCATGAAAATCAAATAAATAGGTGCATATAAAAAATAAATTGCGTAAATAAATTATATAAAAGCCAAAATTACATACAGTTCCAATTATGTCCAAACTGAGAGACACCCAAACAGCAATCTCTGTTAATAGTGCTCCATCAATGCAAAGAAACAAAAATGTGAAATCTTTGTTTCTCTGCACTGATGGGGCACTATTAACAGAGATTACTGTTTGGATGTCCCTTCGTTTGGACATTATTGGAACTGTCACACACAGTTGTTTTTCTTTATTGCACGTTCACTTCAGAATGGCGTTCACATTTTTTTATGTCATTTTTTTTGTTTTCTTTTATATAATTAATGTACATTTTTATATGCACTTATTTATTTGATTTTCATGAATTCAGATGTATAGAGGAATCTTTTAGTGTGATTTTGAATATTAACAGTGCACTTTTTTTTATTTATTTATATATTGAATTGGTTTCTCACCATTTATTGCCAGCTGCTTCCTTCTCTAAGCACTCGCCCTTGTGTTCAGTTTGTGTCTGATTTTTTTTTAACCAACATTTTCCAGCTGCTCTCTGCACAATAGTCCAATAATCAGGATCTATTCACATTTGCATGTTAATGCATGTATTTCTGTGTGTTGCGGTGCTTTGTGTTATAGACACTATCAGCTTTTCCATACAGGGCAAAGTAACACATTTTTTTTTTCAATTAAAAAGGAATTAAAAGGAATTTTAATATTTCTATAACTTTTTTTTTTTTTTTTTTTTTTTTTTTTTTTTACTTTTTACAAACCTAATTGGACTAAACTGTGCAAAAGTAACAACGGAGTTGATATACTAAAAAGAACATTGGTTGCCATTCTCTCTACTTTCTCCAGTTCCCCAAAGTGATAAGAGGCATGGAGGAGATCAGCTACGAGGAAAGATTAGAGGAACTGAATTTATTCTCTCTTGAGAAGAGGAGATTAAGGACTAATGTGATCTCCATGTATAATACATAAGGGGGGATATGATCTCCATGTATACATAAGGGGGGATATGATCTCCATGTATAATACATAAGGGGGGATATGATCTCCATGTATAATACATAAGGGGGGATATGATCTCCATGTATAATACATAAGGGGGGATATGATCTCTGTATAATACATAAGGGGGGATATGATCTCCATGTATAATACATAAGGGGGATATGATATGTATAATACATAAGGGGGATCTCCTTGTATAAATACATCAGTGGTTCATATAGTGAACTCGGTGTAGCGTTGTTCATCCTGAGGTCATCACAGAGGACAAGGGGGCACTCTTTACGTCTGGAGGAAAAGAAGTGTAATCTCCAAATACGGAAAGGTTTCTTCACAGTAACAGCTGTGAAAACGTGGAACAGACTCCCTCAAGAGTCTGGCCAGTTCAGTGGATTGCTTTAAAAAAAGTCCTGGATTCTTTCCTAGATAAACAGAATATAACTGGATACTAACATTTATAGGTAAAGTTGATCCAGGGAATATCTGATTGCCTCTCAGGGGATCAGGAAGGAATTTTTTCCCCTGCAGGAGCAAATTGGATCATGCTTTTCTAGGTTTTTTTGCCTTCCTCTGGATCAACTGTGGGTATAGGATTATAACTTTTTCTTTATATGATATGGACAGCACAATGGCTAAATGGTTATCACTTCCGCCTGGCAGTACTAGGGTCATTGGTTTGAATCCCAAAAAGACTTTTGTCTTTTTTTCAGCCAGACTAACTATGTAACTAAAACTATAGAGTGCAAAATCTTCTGCAGCTCAGCATAGAAACCAATCAGCTTCCAGTTTTTGTCAAAGCTTAACTGAACAAGCTGAAGTTAGAATATGATTGGTTTCCAGGCAGAGCTGTACTAGATTTTGCATTCTCCAGTTTTTTAGTAAATCAGACCCAGTGTGTCTGCAAAGAACACCCCTGATCACCGAATACTCATTTTGTCAATGCATTCTCTCAGCTCCTTGCTTCTCCATGGCCAAGTGTCATATTGGGTCTATCATCGACCCAAAGAGAGGTAATATCACTCCCCCAGTCATGCGACCATGCAAATTATTTACATCGGTGCATTCTGGGAATATATTTCCTATAATGGCCCCACACAGATACCTGTGCATTATGGTAAAACATTAATTTTAGAGGATGGTACCCAAATAGTCAAGTATGACTCCTCCCTCGGGGGTTATGCTCTGTCACCCGTCATACTCTATTGTCGGACATCTTGGTAACATGTTCTTAGGCACTGGAGGCTGTAGGGTACATTTTTGGGCTGCTTACAATTGGAGGAGAGCTCAGGTAGGACCCTGGCAGTGTGATAATGCTCAGGCAGGCAGTCAGATGACAACTCCAGGGAGCTGTGCAACTGCAAAAGGAAGTGGTGTTGCTGTGGTGTCACCTTCCTGGCCATGGCTTTAACATGTCCATCCCTTCCTCTTTTCAAGGCAAAATCCTCTACCCCACAATCCTACTCAAATTCCTCTTTTGGAGATCTAAATGAGAATGAAAAAAAAAATGCTAGGACTCTCTGTTGGATGTCAAAAAACATAGCAGCTCGCACGATACCATAATACATAGTATAATAAACATCACAAAACCATAGTGCAGTGCTAAGGCTGCTTTCACACCGAGGAGGCATTTTGGCGGTAAAAAAAAAAAAGCCTGAAAAGCTCACGAAAAACGCTTCCCTGTGAATGTGTATCTATGTATGTTTTCACACTGCGGAGTTGCGCTTACGGAGCGGTGTAAAAACTCCATCTTTGAGGCATGTTTGGGGAGTTTAAAAAAAAAAAAAAAAAAAAAAAAAAAAAACCTCATCCCATTGAAATCAATGGTATCCACCCCCTAAAACACTCAGAAAACACACCACACATGTGGGAAGTAAAAAGTCACATGGTCAGATTGGGCAGGGGACCTGTAAGGGACAGTGAAACTGCAGCAAAAGGTGGTCAGGTCCCCTTCCCTGTTTGGAAGAGCTTTGCTCTATGGCAAGGGTCTCCAAACTTTCTAAACAAAGGGCTAGTTTACTGTATTCAGAATTTAGGGTGGCCGGTCTGTGGCCATCGGGAGTTGAAATTGTCCTGGTGTCAGTGGGAGTAAACAATGCATCTTTGCTATTATAGCAGTACCCCATTGCTGGTGGCAGTGGGAGGAATGGTGCCCTATCATTGGTGTCAGTTTGAGTGCCTCATCATTGGTGTCAGTGGGAGGAATAATGCCACATTACTGGTGTCAAGGGGAGGAAGAGTGCCCTGTTGGTGTCAGTGGGAGGTATAGTGCTCTATCATTGGTGTCATGGGAGGAATAGTGCCCTGTTGTTGGTGTCAATTGGCCCCATTGCTGATGTCAGTAGCAGAATTATGCCCCAATGTTGGTGTCAGTTGGAGGAATAGTGTCTTGTAGCAGTGGGAGGAAAAGTGCCTCATGAGCTTGATAAAGGCAAAAAAAAAGGCCAGCAGTTTGGAGACCATTGCTCTATGGAAAGGTTATGTAAATTTCAGGACTGGATAGACAAATACAAATCCTTGGGCAAGTAAAACGGCTCTCATATATGTATTTTAGTTGTTTGTGTGGCATTCAGATTTAACTTTACAGCCCTCCTGCTTTCTCCTGTGTGTGTTTTTTATACATTGTGTATTTTTCTGTGTTTCCCCCACCCTTCTTCATTCATGCTTATGTACAGTTTAACATTCAAATTGTAACGCTTGTCTGGAATGTGAAAATTGTCAAAACTGTAACAATTGAATTCTTTTATTGAGGGACAAAGGAAAACAATGGATCCCTTTCAGAGGGAATGGTCTATTAAAGTGTAAAAATCAGTAAAATCAGTCTGCACATGAAGTAAAGCATGCTTGTTATACTCACTGTGGAATCTAAGGGGTTAATCCTCTGCATCGTGTAAAAATGCTTTTTGATCCAGTGTTCTCTAATCCTCCCCTTCTTCTACTGTGCCCCTCATATCTCCCGATGAGACCTATATCGTGGAGACATCTCTGCACATGCTCAGTTTGGTGTGTATTGCTAGAGAGGTTTCTCTTTTTTTTGGGGGGGGGGGAGAATAGTGCTTGCGATTAGCACAGGGCCAATCCGCACTGTGCAGACAGAGCGTCTGGTATTGCTAAAGAGGTTTCCATGTTCTGTGGGAGACCAGATAGAGTGAATGCAGGGTCCGGGGAGACCAAATATAGTAAATGCAGGGCCCGGGGAGACCAGATATAGTGACTGCAGGGTCCGGGAGACCAGATATAGTGACTGCAGGGTCCGGGGAGACCAGATATAGTGACTGCAGGGACAGGAGTGACCGGATATGGTGACTGCAGGGTCAGGGTCCGGGGAGACCGGATATGGTGACTGCAGGGTCCGGGGAGACCGGATATGGTGACTGCAGGGTCCGGGGTGAGACCGGATATGGTGACTGCAGGGTCCGGGGAGACCGGATATGGTGACTGCAGGGTCCGGGGAGACCGGATATGGTGACTGCAGGGTCCGGGGAGACCGGATATGGTGACTGCAGGGTCCGGGGAGACCGGATATGGTGACTGACTGCAGGGTCCTAAGAGACCGGATATGGTGACTGAGGGTCCGGAGACTGCAGGGTCCGGGGAGACCGGATATGGTGACGTGCAGGGTCCGGGGGAGACCGGATATGGTGACTGCAGGGTCCGGGGAGACCGGATATGGTGACTGCAGGGTCCGGGGAGACCGGATATGGTGACTGCAGGGTCCGGGGTTTAGTAACACGTTAATATAAATTCTGTTTATATTTTACTCATAGGTTTTAATTTTATTTTACAGTTTCATGGCTGGTGTCATTCACCCCTGGCGCATGAACTCGTTTGAACGCCTGCTGTGGCGCGCTTGTCGAGGATACCTTATTGTCAACTTTGTGGAGATGTCTGAGCCAATGGAGGACCTAGTGACGGTAATAAAGCAATAAGTGACCTCATTTCCACTACGCTTCCTTCAAATTGGCGTATTTTGGCCATACTTCTCTTGTGGGTCACTGGAGTGCGTTTTACTTTTGCTGTCCTGTGACCCAGAGTCAGCTTATAGTCGGGTGTATTGACCACAAGGCAAACAAGTCATTTGCCTAGGGCAGCATTTTTGCAGGAGGGAGGCTGAAGAAGGGGACCAGGTGGGATCTGTGAGTGGTTGCGGGCTGCTTGATCGTGTATGCAAAGCCCAACTATTGTTCCCGGGGATGTTTTGGAGCTGTGAAGGTGAGTGTCTCTCTCGCTGGGTAGGGAGGCCTTGTGGTAGCAGGTGCATGGGGAAGGCTGTCTCAGCTGGGTCAAGGATTGTTTGGTGTGGTCGGTGTCAGGCTTCCCTGTGGGGTGGGGGCGATTTTTTTTTTTTTTTTTTTTTTTTTTTTTTTTTTTTTTAGGATAGCACAGTGGTGGGCAACCTTTTTTTTCAACTGAGCCAAATCTCGACAAAACCACGATTGAAATTTATTTTGAGAGCCACATTTTTAAAACTGAAAATACATCCCCCATATAGTAATTCATCCCCCATATAGTAATTCATCCCCCATATAGTAATTCATCCCCCCCCATATAGTAATTCATCCCATATAGTAATTCATCCCCATAGTAATTCATCCCCCCTATAGTAATTCATTCCCCATATTGTGTGTCAATTCACTTACCTTTGCTCCGCGCGTTCCTCTCGCCGTGTTCCCGCGCCGTTCCGGTCTTCAGGGCGGACTGTGAGAGGAGAGGAGTTCGTCACGCTGCCCCGCCTACATCCTGACAGCCAATGTTTGCCACGCTCCGCGGGCTGGATTAAAAGGTCCGCCGGGCCGTATACGGCCCGCGGGCCGTAGTTTGCCCATTGCTGGGCTAGCTGCAGAGTCCTGACTTTTGGGGCGGCCGCCCGAGAGGAGGGAGGGGAGCGGGCGCCCGGCACACAGAAGAGCCGCATTAAAATGTGTAAAGAGCCGCATGTGGCACGCGAGCCGCGGCTTGCCGACCACTGGGATAGCACAATACCTAAATACACCACTGCTTATAGTGGGATATAACCCACAGTCAGCTGACATAGCAGTGTCACTCCAGGCTCTGGAAGGATCCTGACAATATTGTTGGGATCCACCCAGCTGCTTGACAACGCATGGCTGAGAGAAGGAGCCAGCTGCACCTGCCCCTTTCCAGCCTGGCTACTGATCATCACTGCTGTCCGCTCTGAGCAGACTGAAAACTTGGCAGCCATATGCGCCTGCCCCTTTCTAGCCTGGTGACTGATGGCAACTGCTCTATGCTCTGAGCCGACTTAAAACTTTGCAACCAGCGGCCATATAATTGCTCCGTTCTCTTAGACCCGACATAGGACAGCTGCGTTTAGCAGGGGCTGGATGAATTTTAAACCATGTATGGGCAACGAGGTTGTACAAAAGTCGATCTACTGATTGACTTCTGTACAGCTGCTCTGTCAGATTTTCCCCACTCAATCAGTGCTGCTGACTATACCTGATCAGTGTGTTCTGATGGTGTGGAAGTCTCCCCACTGTGAGAATACAATAGCTTAGCAGGGAGGATTTCCCCATCGCGCGCGCGTGTGTGTGTGTGTGTGCGTGCGTGCGTGCGCGTGTGCGTGTGCGTGTGTGCGCGTGCGTGTGTAAATCTAGTCCATTTTTTTTCTATTTTAATCTAGTGGTTGAGAAAAACAAAAAAAAATATATACTTTTTTTTAGGCTTATTGCGGTGTGCTGGCAGAACTGACCTGGCTTAAAGTGTTACTGAACCCACAACAGTAAAATCAGTCTGTATATGCAGTAAAGCATGTTTGTTATACTCCCTGTGGAACTTAAGGGGTTAATTATCTGCATTGTGTGAAAAGGATGTTCGATCCTTTCTTCTCTGCCCCCCCTCTTGTTCAAATGTCCAACTGATACAGACTGAATCCATAGTCACATGCACATGCTCAGTTTGGTGTGTATAGCTAGAGAGGTTTTTTTTTTTTTTTTTTTTTGTTCTTGGGAGATATGTGATCATATCAGGGCCAATCAGCACTGTCCAGGCAGAGGGTCAGGACTTTCATATCTTCCTAGAGCAGAAAGAAAACTCCTCCTACAAGCTTTAACCAGTGCCCTGCTGCACACTCGATGTTTTTACAGCAGCTGTTTTTGGCTTTTGACATTTTTTTTTTCTACAGCCAGTAAACTCCCCATGCACACATAGACTGTAATATATTGAATAACTCAAGCACTAACTATGGTGAAATAAAAACAAAAAATTACAATTAAATGCTGTGCCGCTAATCTACACAACCCATGTCTCAGTGGGCCAAATTATACAATCATAATGTGAAGTGAAAAAATGCTGCACTACACAAAACAATGGTAAAAACCAATATATAACCAAAGTGAAGAAATAAATATATATTAGAAGAAAAAATAGAAAAAGTATTATTGAAATGTAAAAAAAAAAAAAAATATATATATATATATATATATATATATATATATATATATATATATATATACACACACAAACCACATACAAATTAAGAATATTTTAAGTGTGAATCAAATAAAAGTCAATCAAAAAATCAAGTTCAATCAATAGTGTTCATTCAGTGAACTCTCCTTTTGGATAACGAAAAATATGTGCATCTGTCATCAATTCCCGTGCACAGACATCCTCCACCATATATCTGCTTACCTCACGCAGTGTGACTCACATTATACAATGTTATGGTCTAATTGTTCTTTTGGTCCCATGTGGACTCAGAAGATCAGCTTGCTGAATGAAGACTCCAAAGTAATCTCCCTCCTGATAAGCGTCTTTGTATCAGCTGTATTCCTCATTAAAAAGAACTCCACATAGTGCTTTATCCTTTTAAACTTGTATTCATCAATTAAAACATATGAAATACACTCACGTTCCGGAGGTGTATTTTGCACCAGGTATGATGAAGATCCAGTGATGTACTGAAGGGGTTAAACAAGCTGCAAAGCCACCCACTAACAATAATATAAAAATAATAAAACGAAAAAGAAATAAATAACATTATCATAAAATTATTTTAAAATATTGTAAATAAAAAAATATATAATAATTATACAAATTAAAATTATAATATAATTAAAAATACAAAATATAAATATTATATGTATAACTTTGATATGTATAAAATAAAAAATAAATATAAACCTAATTAAAAATCACTCATAAGCAGTTAAGATCAAATTCCCTATTTATCCCCTTGGGAAACAAAGTTTGAAGCTCATGGATCCAATAGGACTCCCTTTTACTAAGCTTTGCCTTGCAATATATTATGGATGGTGTCTGTTTTGAGGTATACAGGACTCTGAGATGATACTGCCATCTTGTGTTTTAATCAGTACATCACTGGATGTTCATCTTACCTGGTGCAAAATACACCTCCGGAACGTGAGTGTATTTCTTTTGTTTTAATTGATGAATAAAAATTTAAAAGGATAAAGCACTATGTGGAGTTCTTTTTAATGAGGAATATGGCTGATACAAAAGCACTTATCAGGAGGGAGATTACTTTGGAGTCTTCATTCAGCAAGCTGATCTTCTGAGTCCATATGGGACCAAAAGTGCAGTTAGACCGTAACATTGCATAATGTGAGGTCACACTGCGTGAGGTGAGCAGATATATGGTGGAGGATGTCTTTGCATGGGAATTGATGACAGATGCACATATTTTTCGTTTTCCAAAGGAGGGTTCACTGAATGAACACTTCATTGATTGAACTTGATTTTTTGATTGCCTTTTATTTGATTCATACTTAAAATATGCTTAATTTTTATTTTTTGTGTGGTTTTTGCCGCATTTTGCTGCATTTTTCAGTATTAGAGCATTTTTACAGCTAAAAAAACTCCTCTAGAAACCCACTAGTTCTGGATTTTTTCCAGCCAAAAAACGTCCCAGCCAAAAAAAACGTTGATTACAGTCTGTATGCATGGACACATAGGATAACATGCTGGGGGGTTTACTAGCTGTAGAAAAAAACATCAAAAGCCAAACATAGCCTTTGTAAAAATGTCCCGTGTGCATGAGGACTTACTGCTGATGAGAAAAGATATTTAGCAGTTTATATTTACTAAAATCATTGCATTTCCATGTTGTGTGTACTGTGGGAGACCAGATCTAGGGAATGCCGGGTCCGGGGAGACCGGATCTAGGGAATGCCGGGTCCGGGGAGACCGGATCTAGGGAATGCCGGGTCCGGGGAGACCGGATCTAGGGAATGCCGGGTCCGGGGAGACCGGATCTAGGGAATGCCGGGTCCGGGGAGACCGGATCTAGGGAATGCCGGGTCCGGGGAGACCGGATCTAGGGAATGCCGTAGCACATTAAATTTAAACAGGCAACATAAGTTACACTAAACACATCACAACAAACCTCAAAAGCGTGAATCCAACATTCTACATAACTGACTGTTCATAAGTTTGCTTCATTGATTTTTTTTTTTTTTTTTTTAATAAACTACATTTTTTTTGTCACAGGGTGAGAGCGTCACACAGATTATATTCCTGATCTCATACTGGGGTGAGAGAATTGGAGAGAAGATCAAAAAGATTGCAAATTGGTGAGTGTTAAAGCACTTTGGTTTTGATTTTAAAATGAGATGATGAATTGACTAAACAGTACAAATTAGTGATCTGCTTTCAGATGAACTAAAATGCAAACTCTGTACCCTAAAGCAGTATTATCCCAAAAGCAAACACGTGTTGTATTGCAGCTTAGATATGATAGCTGCATTAGTTTTTTTTTTTTTTTTTTTTTTTTTTTTTTTTTTTTTTTTTTTGAGGCTTTCTTTCCTTTTATTTTCATCTGGTGATCTGGCCAGTAAGTTTGTAGTTTTTTAAACAGAACAAGTTATGCTGCACATGTAGCAGTTTAGAGTATTGAGGCAAACCATGTACCACTGACAGGGGTGCTTACATTGATCAGCTTGTATTTATGTAAAATCTAAAAGAGAAAACAACTGTTGCTGTAACTGGTTGTGTAACTGCAGTGTGAGCTAAAGTTTGGCTGCAATTTGTTAGTGTATCTAAATCTGTTAGTACATCTAAAACTCCCCTCCACCAACTTGCGGTTGGGAAGAGGAGAAAGGACAGTGCTCCGACTGGCTGTGTAATCCTGTGTATGAGGGAGGGCCTCGGCCGTCACGCCAGCTACTCCCCCAGATGCGTGTCGTCCCACCACCCGGGGGGCTTGATCACAGAAGCCCCCCACCTAGATTGACAAAGGTGTCCCCTGTGCTCCTTTATGCAGGGGCACTGTAATACTGGCTAGATCACCAGGTGAAGAGAGGGGAAAAAAGCCTACAAAATAACTAATTCAGCCACCACATCTAATGATTGGTGAGCTGCAATATATTACACTTTTTTGTTTTTGGGTTTAAAGCGGAAACAAACCCATCGATTTAACCGTTTCAAAAAACAGTTATATTCCTGTCAGGCCAGGAATGCTAACTGTCACATTTGCTTGTGTTCTCAACCAAACTGTCAAACCATCAAATGTCATAACTGATCACATGTTCAGCACCATGACAGTTGCAAATCAAAACCGAGGCCAAGATGGCAACTTTCTGGGCTGAAAAGAATAGGAAAGTGTAGTTCCACTTTAATGAAGCTGATCATACCCAGTAGGCCCCATTCGTACCTGAGTGATTTGTAGCTTGACGCTTCAAAACGCTTGAGGAAAAAAGTCAATTCCCAAAGGATCACATCTGTACTCCAAATTTGCCTGAAGCTCAATCACATTCTGAAGCTTTTTGGTTGCTCAGGTCGGGCAGATTTGCACGTTTTTTGAGCATTTTTAATTCCATAGGAATTAATTGAAACATGCGATAGATGTGTTTTTGTCACGCATTTTCAGAGTGTTTTTCTGCTCAAATGAAAAAATGTAGGAAAAATATAAATATAATGAATAAATAAATGCAAAATAAATACACAAAAAAAAGATCATAAATAAATGAATAATATGTAATAATTAAATAATAAACCCTTAAGCTTAACCCCCCTAACCCTAAAAAAAATTATAATAAATTCCCTAACAAAAATTAAATACATAATACATTTTTTATTTATTTAAAAAAAAAACTTCGGTTTGGGGGGGTTGAGGTTAGGGGGTTATTTATTATTACATATTTGTTTTATTCATTTTGTGTATTTTATTTGACATTTATTATTAATAATAGTAACACCCTAACAAAAAAAAAATAGGACAATGCATAAAATAACAAACCCTAGAGAGATATCATATTACCTCGGTACAAATCATTAGTAATACCTCATCTGGAATATGCAGTTCAGTTTTGGGCACCAATTCACAAAAAGAACATTGGGGAACTGGAGTGCAGAGAAGGTCAACTAAACTGACAAGAGGCATGGAGGAGATCAGCTATGAGGAAAGATTAGAGGAACTGAATTTATTCTCTCTTGAGAAGAGGAGATTAGGGTGCATATGATCTCCATGTATAATACCTAAGGGGGGATATGATCTCCATGTATTATACATAAGGGGGGATATGATCTCCATGTATTATACATAAGGGGGGATATGATCTCCATGTATTATACATAAAGGGGATATGATCTCCATGTATAATACATAAGGGGGGATATGATCTCTATGTATAATACATAAGGGGGGATATGATCTCCATGTATAATACATAAGGGGGGATATGATCTCCATGTATAATACATAAGGGGGGATATGATCTCCATGTATAATACATAAGGGGGATATGATCTCCATGTATAATACATAAGAGGGATATGGTCACCATGTATAATACATAAGGGGGGATATGATCACCATGTATAATACATAAGGGGGGATATGATCTCCATGTATAATACATAAGGGGGGATATGATCTCCATGTATAATACATAAGGGGGGATATGATCTCCATGTATAATACATAAGGGGGGATATGATCTCCATGTATAATACATAAGGGGGGATATGATCACCATGTATAATACATAAGGGGGGATATGATCTCCATGTATAATACATAAGGGGGGATATGATCACCATGTATAATACATAAGGGGGGATATGATCTCCATGTATAATACATAAGGGGGGATATGATCACCATGTATAATACATAAGGGGGGATATGATCACCATGTATAATACATAAGGGGGGATATGATCTCCATGTATAATACATAAGGGGGGATATGTTCTCCATGTATAATACATAAGGGGGGATATGATCACCATGTAGAGTACATCAGTGGTTCATATAGTGAATTCGGTGTAGAGCTATTCACCCTGAGGTCAACACAGAGGACAAAGAAATTTAATCTGCAAACACGGAAAGGTTTCTTCACAGTAAGAGCTGTGAAAATGTGGAATAGACTCCCTCAAGAGTTGGTTCTGGCCAGCTCAGTGGATTGCTTCAAAAAAGGCCTGGATTATTTCTTAGATACACATAATATAGCTGGATACTAACATTTATAGGTAATGTTGATCCAGGGAATATCCTATTGCCTCTCGGGGAATCAGGAAGGAATTTTTTCCCCTGCAGGTGCAAATTGGATCATGCTTTGCTGTGGTTTTTTTTGCCTTCCTCTAGATCAACTGTGGGTATAGGATTATAAATTTTTGTTTTTTCTATGTTTAAACTGGATGGACTTTTGTCTTTTTTTTCAGCTGGACTAACTATGTAACCCTAATACCTAACCCAATCCCTAACCCCAACCCTTAATCCTAACCCTAACTTTTCTTTAACTTTAACCCCCTGCCCTAATAAAAAAAAAAAAGTGAATAATAAATTAAAAATAAAATTACAAAATCTAGCAAAAAATGTTGTAACATATATTATTTTTCTCTATTGGCTAATAAAAAAAAAAAAAACACCAAAGCTCAAACGCTTAAATAAACCACTGCATGAGAACACATGAAAAAATGCATGAAAACCGCTCAAAAACGCTATGCTCAAGTGTGAATCCAACCTTAGGGCCAATTCACACCATGTGTTGATCTGCGTTTTAGCACAGCTGTAAAACAGAACAGCAGAAGGACATCTGAAAAACATTAATTTCCAATGTGTCCCATTCACACCATAAGCTGCGCATGCATGTCAACAGATGTCAAAATGTATGTCAATGGACGCCAATACGCGTTAAAACGTCACTAAAATGGATGGAGATGTATATGCATTTTCCATACATTTTAGCGCAAGTCAGTGTGAATTGGCCCTTGCATTGCAATATTGGAGGTGAGATTTTTTTTTTCCTGAATGTGACTTAACATGCTCTCAGTTTGGGAGGAGTGTCCAAATACAACTGAAAATGCCATAAAACAACCCCCCAGCATCCCCTGCGAACACACGCACTTTTGAAGTCATGGTTGTGTTATGTTTCAGACATAGATTGAAGTGATTTCTGAACAAACTATTTATCTCTCTCATTCTATAATTTTACTCCTTGCAGTTTCCACTGTCACATTTATCCATATGCTGATGATGAGACCGCCAGACTAGAAAAGCTGAAAGATCTCCTAATTCAGATCCAAGACATGCAAAAGGTGACCTATCCATCTTGTAAGGAATTGCTTTCTTCTCTCTATTCTCTCTAGTTTGCCTCAGACTGGACGCGAGTGCCGTTCGGCTGACAACTTTCTGACTGGCTCCTTCAACAAAAGTCAGCTGACAAATCACTCTTGTGGATCTAGGGTCACCGACTAGTCGGATTTTGACCAATTAGCCAAAATTTGAGCAGTGTGTGATCATCATAAAGCCAAACTCCAGGAGCAAAAAAAAATGGGCAGCACAGTGGCTAAATGGTTAGCACTCTCCGCCTGGCAGTACTAGGGTCGTTGGTTCGAATCCCAGCCATGGCGCCACCTGTCTGGAGTTTGCATGTTCCACTCCAGTTTCCTCCCACACTCCAAAGACATGCTGGTAGGTTAATTGGCTCCTGTCTAAATTGTCCCTAGTATGTGTTTGAATGTGAGTTAGGGACTTTAGATTGTACACCCCTTGAGGGCTAGGGACTGATGTGAATGTACAATATATATGTAAAGTGCTGCGTAAATTGACGGCGCTATATAAGTACCTATAATAATAATAATAATAATAATAATAATAATAATAATAATAATAATGTTGCCATGCAGTGGGGCTGTGCCCACTATCATGGGTTAACTGCTTGTTTTGTCCAGGGGGGACCAGAAAGCTTTATACTCACCTGATCCTCCGATCCAGGGATAAACAGTGCTCCGGCTCCATCCAGCAGTGGACTCTTCCTGATGTCCTCGTGTCCAAACGGTCTATGGGCGTGATGACATCAGGGACAGTCCATGCGCAAGGCCGCTAGATGGCGGGGGGCAGGAAACGCAGAGATCAGTCTTGTGCTGGGAGGATTAGGCAAGTATTTCTCCCTTCTCCAGTCACCTAGGCAAGAACAAGTATCTCCTGTGTGAGCTGTCCCCACACTACAAGAGAACTTTTTTTGCTTGGAGTTGGGCTTTAAGTCTCAAGATCTGTATTCCTTTATGGTTTTGTAACCTTTTAAAATATGGAGCCAGTTTGTACTCCCCTCTACACTGACTTATATGATGGCGCTCTCTTCTATACTGAAAAAATAGAGAGAGAAGATGCAAGTTCTCCCCATACTTATCGACGGAATGCTGTCACCTTGCCTGTGAAAAGCAAAGTGCCAGTTTCCTTATAAATGGCCCCTATGACCCCCTTATACTCTCCTTCTCAGCGCTCTTATTGATGCTTCTTCCTCTGTCATAGCCGGTGATACTACTGGGCACTTCTAAGTATGGAGAAGCGTGCCTTTCTGGTCACCTGACCAAAGACGTGACATCACTGCACCCCCAGGTTGCTGGCACTATTGGCTGTGACCTAGGAAAGGGCAGCAAGACAGTTTAGGCAAGGTGGGCATGGAGGGGGGGGGGGGGGGTTCTGTTTCAGAGACAATGTCGGCTTTGTCTGCTTGGGAAAGAAAGGTGGCAGTATCTATTTTAACATGGAATTGAGTATTAGTCTTTATGACCCAAATTTTCCTTGTCAAAAACACTTTCTATCATGGTATTATTTAAAAATCAATGGTGAATGATGTGTGTATATGTAGGTATGTGTGTACGTATACAGTGAAGGAAATAAGTATTTGATCCCCTGCTGATTTTGAATGTTTGCCCACTCACAAAGAAATGATCAGTCTAACAATCGAATGGTAGGTGTATTGTAATACTGAGAGACAGAATAGCAACAAAACAATCAAAAGAGATGCATGTCTAACAAATGATGCACTGATTTGCATGTTCATGAGGGAAATAAGTATTTGATCCCTATCATTCAGCAGGATTTTTGGCTACCAGGTGTCTTTCATACAGGTAACAAGCTGAGATTAGAAGCTCTCTCTTAAAGGGAGTGCTGCTAATCTCATTTTATTACCTGTGTAAAAGACACCTGTCCACAGGAGCAATCAAACAATCGGATTCCAAACCAAACTCTCCACCATGGCAAAGACCAAAGAGCTGTCCAAGGATGTCAGGGACAAGATTGTAGACCTACACAAGGCTGGACTTGGCTACCAAACTATCGCCAAGCAGCTTGGTGAGAAGGTGACAACAGTTGGTGCAATCATTCGCAAATGAAAGAAACGCAAAACAACAATCTGCTTTGGGGGTGTTTTTCTGCTAAGGGGACAGGACAACTGCACCGCATCAAAGGAACGATGGACAGGGCAATGTACCATCAAATCTTGGTTGAGAACCTTCTTCCCTCAGCCAGGGCATTGAAAATGGTTCGTGGATGGGTGTTCCAGCATGACAATGACCCAAAACACACGGCCAAGCCAACAAAGGAGTGGCTCAAGAAGAAGAGCATTAAGGTACTGAAGTGGCCTAGCCAGTCGCCAGACCTTAATCCCATTGAAAATCTGTGGAGGGAGCTGAAAGTTCGAGTTGCCAAACGTCAGCCACCAAACCTTAATGACTTGGAGAGGATCTGCCAAAAGGAGTGGGCCAAAATCCCTCCTGAGATGTGTGCAAACCTGGTGGCCAACTACAGGAAACGTCTGACCTCTGTGATTGCCAACAAGGGAATTGCCATCAAGTACTAAGTCACGTTTTGTGAAGGGTATCAAATACTTATTTCCCTCATGAACATGCAAATCAGTGCATCATTTGTTAGACATGCATTTCTTTTGAATTTTTTGTTGCTGTTTTGTCTCTCAGTGCTACAATACAACTACCATTCGATTTTTAGACTCATCATTTCTTTGTGAGTGGGCAAACAGTCAAAATCAGCAGGGTGTGTATGTGTTGTATAGTTCTGATGGAGCAAGGATTACCATGACACTTCCAAAATACCATTGAAACTTTCATAGCTGAGCCAAAAAAAAAAAAAAAAACACGAGAGCCCTTACGGTGACTCCTTTGTAGTATCTAGTCCAGGGGTCCTCAAACTTTTTAAACAGGGGGCCAGTTCACTGTCCCTCAGACCGTTGGAGGGCCGGACTATATATATATATATATATATATATATAAGCCCATCAATGCAGCCTCACCAGTGCCCATCAATGCAGCCTCACCAGTGCCCATCAATGCAGCCTCACCAGTGCCCATCAATGCAGCCTCACCAGTGCCCATCAATGCAGCCTCACCAGTGCCCATCAATGCAGCCTCACCAGTGCCCATCAATGCAGCCTCACCAGTGCCCATCAATGCAGTATGATCAGTGTTCATTAATGCAGCCTCACCAGTGTCCATCAATGCAGTCTGATCAGTGTCCTTCTCCTTGGCTGTCTGTCACTGCCCAGCACGGGAGAACTGCAGGCAGCCCCTCCAGAGATCAGACACCACCCCTCTATCATTTCTCGCCGCGCCGGCCGGATCTACATCCCCAGCACACAGGAATATCACTGGGGGTGGAGCCGAGGCGGAGCCAAGGGGCAGGTGAGGGAGGGAGAGGCAGAGCCAATCAAGCGTGGCGATGCTGGTGGAATGAAAGTGAAAGTACGCAGGGGATGCCGCCGTGAAAGTACGCAGGGGGATGACAAATATTACAAAACACCCGGCGGGCCGGATAAATGTCCTCGGCGGGCCGTAGTTTGAGGACCCCTGATCTAGTCTTTCCCAATGCTAAAAGTGCTCTGTAATTTGTATGTATTTTGTACCCTATAGGTGATGCAACAAACGGAAGGTTTCCTAAATCAGGTTCTCAGTCAGGTTGCAGAAAAGTTATACTTCTGGAGAGTCAGTGTGAGGAAGATGAAGCACATCTACCAGATTTTGAACATGTGCAGCGCGCGGGAGCGATGCCTTATCGGAGAGGTCTGGTGTCCTGTCGGCGATCTGCCTCTACTGCAGGCGGCGCTTGTCCGAGCTTCGGTGAGATACTTTGGAAATACACTAGTAATGATATAAAATGTTATTTTCTGTACAGAGGAAAGTGGGAAAATATTACTGGAGTTGTAGGGTCATCCCACTGGTATTGAGATGTTTTAGACCTTTCATTTTATTTTTGATTGGTTGTCACAGTGGTCATATGATCGGGAGCCAGGCACTAATCAGAACAAACTGAGAGTTGTCTTTGGCTGTGAGCATACTCAGCACAGTAACCTTTGCTCCCCCTCTCCCCCATAGAAGCGTATGTGTAGCATATGGGTGTTAAAGCCCACCCTCTATGCCGCCACACATGTGCATTAAGTGGGAAGCACGAGGTTGAAGCTGAATTTGGTTGAAATAACTTGCCTTTATCCCAAGTGTGCCCTACATCCTGCTGGCCATACACTAGTAGAATTTCATTTATTTTTAAACACTTCTTGTCCGCCATCTATGTACAGCTCTGATGCAAGCTAATGTTCCTGCACGGCTCATAGAGCGTCTACCCCAGAGCCCGGTGATCGGTGTGTCGCCCGGACACAGCGGATCACCTTACCACTGTGTTCGGGTGATCACATGATGTTATGCCCTGTGACTGCTGTGACCAATGAAACTGAAAGTAAAGTGTGTGTGAGAGCAGAGAGAAGCGATCCTGCAGTGTGTGAGTGTACAGCGATCTGTCAGGCTGCTTGTACACTCACACACTGCAGTGCCAGTCAGTCATAGTGCCCCAGTGTCCCTGATCACTGCCCCACAATATCAATAATAAATAATGCAGGGAGGCACTGTCACCTGTCCCAGTGTGCACAAAACACCCCCATACACGTGCGTGTCCTGATCACCGCCATACCCCAAACCATCACCCGGATCACTGCCATACCCCATACCAGCGTTCTGATCACTGCCATACCCCATACCAGCATTCTGATCACTGCCATACCAGCATTCTGATCACTGCCATACCAGCATTCTGATCACTGCCATACCAGCATTCTGATCACTGCCATACCAGCATTCTGATCACTGCCATACCAGCATTCTGATCACTGCCATACCAGCATTCTGATCACTGCCATACCAGCATTCTGATCACTGCCATACCAGCATTCTGATCACTGCCATACCAGCATTCTGATCACTGCCATACCAGCATTCTGATCACTGCCATACCAGCATTCTGATCACTGCCATACCAGCATTCTGATCACTGCCATACGCCATACCATAATTCTGATCACCGCCATGCCCCATGCCATCACCCTGATCACCGCCATGCCCCATGCCAGCACCCTGATCACCGCCATGCCCCATGCCAGCACCCTGATCACCGCCATGCACCATGCCAGCACCCTGATCACCGCCATGCCCCATGCCAGCACCCTGATCACCGCCATGCCCCATGCCAGCATCCTGATCCCCGCCATGCCCCATGCCAGCATCCTGATCCCCGCCATGCCCCATGCCAGCATCCTGATCCCCGCCATGCCCCATGCCAGCATCCTGATCACCGCCATGCCCCATGCCAGCATCCTGATCACCGCCATGCCCCATGCCAGCATCCTGATCACCGCCATGCCCCATGCCAGCATCCTGATCACCGCCATGCCCCATGCCAGCATCCTGATCACCGCCATGCCCCATGCCAGCATCCTGATCACCGCCATGCCCCATGCCAGCACCCTGATCACCGCCATGCCCCATGCCAGCACCCTGATCACCGCCATGCCCCATGCCAGCACCCTGATCACCGCCATGCCCCATGCCAGCATCCTGATCACCGCCATGCCCCATGCCAGCATCCTGATCACCGCCATGCCCCATGCCAGCATCCTGATCACCGCCATGCCCCATGCCAGCATCCTGATCACCGCCATGCCCCATGCCAGCATCCTGATCACCGCCATGCCCCATGCCAGCATCCTGATCACCGCCATGCCCCATGCCAGCATCCTGATCACCGCCATGCCCCATGCCAGCATCATGATCACCGCCATGCCCCATGCCAGCATCATGATCTATGCCATGCCCCATGCCATCACCCTGATCACCGCCATACCCCAGATCACCTTACCACTGTGTTCAGGCGACACGTGGTGTTATACCATGTGACTGCCGTGACCAATGAAACTGAAAGTAAAGATCGCTTTTTTGTGCTCTCAGTGGCCACCAAGGATTGAAACAAAGCTTTTTAAACAGAGGTTTAGGTTTTTTCTTTTAAATCTATATTGTTCTACCCTTGTGTTTCTTTCAGGAGAATAGTGGAGGGGGTGGAGAATCCTTCTGTCATCGTATCCATTGTCCTGTCAACCCACCCACTTTAATCCGCACCAACAAGTTCACCTCGGGATTTCAAGGGATTGTGGATGCTTATGGTGTAGCAAGTTATCAGGAAGTAAACCCAGGTATATTTTTCATGGTTATTTTATATTTAACTGCTATTTCTCAAGTCTTCTTCCAGGACAGCACTGATTCTCAATGCTGTCCTGGAAGATGCTTAGAAATCAGTTTGCCAGGTAACTAAGTCTCATCATAAGAGTCAAAAGTGAACATGTCTTGATTGAAGTTATTCAATTAGCCACTTCCCGTCCGCCCTATAGCAGTAATACAGCTACAGGGCAGCATGGGTGCGCAAAATCGTGCGTGAGATTTTTGCATTTCTGAGTGCCCTACCCGCATCACTATTCATGGCCTTGGCTGTCAATCACCGGGTTCCGGCCAGTGATTACTCGCCGGCACCCGGTGATCGAGGAGCATTAACGACGGAGGGAGAGAACTGTATATAAACAAAACAGATCTCTCCCCTGTCAGCTCCTGCACACTGCTTGAGCAGTGTGCTTACAGTTGAAAGCACACACACAGCACTTGGTAAAACAGCACACAGTTAACCCTTTGATCGTCCCACATGTTAACCCCTTCCTGCCCAGAGCCATTAGTACAGTGTCAGTGCTTTTTATTAGCACAGATCACTGTATTGGTGTCACTGGGGGTGTCAGTGATACCAAGCTGATTCCCCCCAGTGTCAGAATGCCCGCCACAGTTCCGCTATAAGTTGCTGATCGCCACCATTACTAGTAAACCATTGCCACCATTATTAGTAAAAATAGAAAAAAAATCCCAGTATATATATACTGCCATTTGTAAGCGCTATAACTTTCTTTTCTTTTTTTTTCTTTTTTTTTTAGCAAAGACCTGTAGCAGAATACATTTTGCCCTAAATGTATGAAGAAATTAGATTTTTTTAAAAACTTTTACTGGATATGTTTAATAGCAAAAAGTCCAAAATATTTTTTTTATTTTATTACTTGCTGTCTCTAAAGTTTTCTTTGCAAGTTTCAACTTTTACAAATGTCAAGCTTCGGCACATCCCCACAACAATGCAGATGGCTGTCAGTAGATCAGTAAGGTATTGCATTGTGGGATGTGGACACTTAAAATGGAACTTTTAGATGAAAAACTAAGCATGGGCAGACAGGCAGGATTTTTATTGCAGAAGAGATATGCTACATCTCTTCTGCATTAAAATTACTTACCTGCCTGTCTGCCCCTGTACAGTGAGCTGCACATGCTCAGCTCAACGTACGAGTTCGGCAATGACGATTTGACTGAACTCCCATACATGTGTGAGAGTGACCTCATCTCAGCCTGGCCAATGACAGTGGCTGGCAATCAATACCCAGAAGGCAGCTACCCTAAGATGTCAGCAACTGGCTGGGAGCTACAGGATGCTGCATCGCTGGAACCAAGGTGAGTATAGTTCCACTTTGAAAAGTTTAGTATGGTTTTGAAGAAGTTGGACTGACTAGACTACAACATCCTTCCCCCATTCAGTACTGTACCAAACAACTCAGACTAACTAGACTACAGCATCCTTCCCCCAAATCAGTAATAATGTACTAAACAAGTTGGATTGTCTAGACTACAGCAACCTTCCCTCATTCCATACTGTACTGAACAAGTTGGACTGACTAGACCACAGCAGCCTTCCCTCATTCCATACTGTACTGAACAAATTGGACTGACTAGACTACAGCAACCCTCCCTCATTCAGTACTGTAGTGAACAAATCGGATTGACTAGACTACAGCAACCTTCCCTCAATCAGTGCTCTTCTAAACAAGTTGGATTGACTAGACTACAGCATCAACCCCCCAATTCAGTACTGTACTGAACAAGTTGGACTGCCTAGACTACAGCAACCTTCCCCAATTTAGTAAAGTACTGAACAAATTGGACTGTCTAGACCACAGCAGCCTTCCCTACTCAGTACTGTTTTGAACAAGTCAGACCAACTAGACTACAGCATCCTTCCCCCAATTCAGTACTGTACTGAACAAGTTGGACTGTCTAGACTACACCAACCTTCCCCCATTCAGTACTGTTCAGAACAGGTCAGACTGACTAGACTACAGCAACCTTCCCCCACTCCGTACTGTTCTGAATAGGCTGGACTTTTTTTCAAATCTATTTTCTAAAATGGTGAATTTGGATGCTGACTATGTAACTTTTTTATTTTATTAATTCCCCTCTCTGTGTTAAATTGCAGCTCTCTATACCATCATAACATTCCCATTTCTCTTTGCTGTCATGTTTGGGGATGTTGGCCATGGGCTCCTCATGTTCCTGTTTGCTCTTTGGCTGGTTCTTGGAGAGGACAACCCCAAGCTGAAAAATTCTGAGAGTGAGGTGAGAGGCTGCAACATAGAGCATGGATGGTGACTGAGAGATCTGGTTGTCTGTTACATTAATATACATTTTCTTTGTGTCTGGTCAGATCTTCTCTATGTGTTTTGGAGGTCGGTATCTAGTTCTGCTCATGGGACTGTTATCCATTTACACCGGTTTTGTGTATAATGAATGTTTCAGCCGGGCAACCACCATTTTTCCTTCAGGGTGGAGCGTTGCAGCAATGGCAAGAGCAAAGAACTGGACGTGAGTGGAACAATCAGTAGAATGTTAAATGTGACAAGTTCCCCTGTAATCTGGGGAAAGATCTGAATGTAATATTTGTGTACATCTAGCTCTAACAATTCTCTATTTAGGGAAGAGAACTTTAACAACTTTGTTCCTCCACCATTGGACCCCAATATAACCAATGTCTTCATCGGTGTCTATCCTTTCGGCATTGATCCGGTAAGGTCTTTTATTAACATAGTACATTATGCTGCCTGGTTTTTTCTTTTTTTTTTTTCCCCTTGTGTTGTTAACATGTTAAACTGTAACTTCTACTACATTATATTATAACTGTTCTTGTGACATAGCTATTGTACAGGAAGCCAGGGATGAGTCCTGGATGGGAGAGAATACAGTATTTCCCCACTATTTGGGTTGCGGTCCCTTTTAACCACTTCAGGTCCAGACATTCTCACCCCCATTCTGCCCAGGCCACTTTTCAGTTTTCAGCGCTGTCACACTTTGAATGACAATTGCGCGGTCATGCAACACTGTACCCAAATGAAATTTTTTGAGACAGATAAAACTTTATTTTGGTGGTATTTATTCACAACTGGGATTTTTATTTTTTTGCTACATACTGTATATGAAAAAAAGATAAAGTTTGAAAAAAAGGTGTTTTTCTTATAAAATTTTGCAAATAAATTAATCTTCATAAATCTTGGCCAAAATGTATTCATCTATCTATTTGGTAGAAAAAAAAAACCCAAATCAGTTTATTAGAAGAAAAAATATTTTTTTAATATTATTTGTGTATTTATTTTTTTGACATACTGTCACCCTAGCAGTACAGTATCACCATAGTGACACTGTACTACCTGTAGGGGGGTGATGAATATTTATTTTTTCCTTACACGGATAGCTTTTACACCCATAAAGGCTTACATGCAGGGGCGGACTGACCATTCGAGCACTCGGCACTGCCCGAGGGCCTGGAGTCAGTAAGGGGCCCCATGAAATGCCCCTGATTAGCTTTTTTTATAGGCTTTTTTAAGTGTGGGCAAGGACACAGGCCCCATGATCCCCTATTGCCCTGGGGCCCCATGAGTTGTCAGTCCGCCCCTGCTTACATAGTTAGTCTGGCTGAAAAAAGACAAAAGTCCATCCAGTTCAATCATAGAAAAAGAAAAAAAAGTTATAATCCTATACCCACAGTTGATCAAGAGGAAGGCAAAAAAAAGCAGCAATCCTTTCTCCTTCTCTCTGGTTGCATTCTTGCAGCCATTGAGAAATACCGTGAGAGCTGTAACACAGCTGTCACAGTTTGTCACATGGTACAAGGCTGCTGTGAATAGCCCTGTACCATGTGACCTCTGTGATCATTCACAGATATCACAAGTAGTAAACAATGATGTCAGGAAGTGACATCTTGTTTACTACTCTTCATGTGATCACTGATTGGCCAATCAGTGATCACATGACCGGGACCTCACACAGAGGTCCCGTACAGCGATCGGTGTTATGTTGTGTCTGGAGGACACAGCGGGCACCAGATCGCAGTGCTACGCTCTCCTAAGGAGCGCGCACAGGCATGGAAGCGGATAGGAAGTTTATAAATGGCCACCCACTCCTGCAATGCTCCCGTCCATCCGTTTATGTACATGCGCTGGACGGGAAGTGGTTAATCTGCAAGTTTGTATTCACTTGGCTGTTTACCCCCCAGCCTTGCTTGCTCTATCTGCCTCCACCATATTCTCCCTGTTTTCCTATCGCCTAAAAAAAAATTACTATCGCATTACAAAAATCACTCAAAATGCAGCCTCACTGACAATGCTGTACGTTTTCCCATTGCTGTTTCTTATTTTGGCCGCTACTGTCATCTGCAATATAGGCTATCTGCTTAAATGGAATTCTTTTTGATTTTTGCATTCCAGATATGGAGCTTGGCCTCCAATCGCCTCACATTCCTGAATTCCTTCAAGATGAAAATGTCGATTATTCTAGGCGTCATTCACATGTCCTTTGGCGTGTTTCTGAGCATCTTTAACTTCGTGTAAGTACCATTTGCGTTTAGCCTCGTCTAGCTGAACTTCATGCACACCGCAAAATACACAGATTAACCACCTGCTGTCAGGAGCAATTTATTTATTTATAAAAATCGGCAGAAATTGTAGCAGAGGAATTAAGCGGCAGACAAAAAATGACACTTAGTGCTCTGGATTGAGACGAGTACAAGCTATAGAGGGATGTGCTTTGTTCATATTTCATGTCTGAGGTTTACAATCTCTTTAGGTAACATACAGGTCTTAAGCCCCATACACATGATGAGAATATTGGACGGATGATCATCCTCTATGTAGCGTATGTCATTCAGATGGCTTATTCCCCCATGTTTTTCACACCTAAGCTTGGAGTTAGGCTTTCAGATACCGTGTGTGTGTGTGTATGGGGGTGGGGATAGTGGGTTTGGTTTTTCTGTAGATCAAGGTAAAGCATTTTTTATATTGTCTTCTCTTGCAGTCACTTCAAGCAGAAGTACCGGATCCTCGTGGTGTCTATCCCAGAGCTGCTGTTCCTGCTTTGCCTCTTCGGATATCTGGTGTTTATGATTTTCTACAAGTGGTTTGCGTTTGATGTCAGTCGGGCTCAATCGGCTCCAAGCCTGCTCATTCATTTCATTGACATGTTTCTTTTCACCAAGAATAAGGGCAACATAGACCTCTATAAAGGGCAGGTGAGCTTAATTCGCTATTTATACAAAATCTCCATCAGCATGGCCTTTGAGGGATTTATGGAGTAGAATGTATACATTATTATTATACAGGATTTATATAACGCCAACAGTTTGCTCAGTGCTTTACAATATAAGGGAGACGGTACAATTACATTTCAGTACAGAAGGAATATGAGGGCCCGGCTCATGGAGCTTACAATCTATCTATGGATAGGTAACAACGGCAGAATAAGTATCGGGGGTACTGTACCAAGTTACATAGTTACTCTGGCTGAAAAAAGACAAGTCCATCTAGTTCAACCATTAAAAAAGTTATAATTCTATACCCACAGTTGATCCAGAGGAAGGCAAAAAACCCAGCAAAGTATGATCCAATTTGCTCCTGCAGGGGAAAAAATTCCTCCCTGATCCCCTGCGAGGCAATTGGATATTCCCTGGATCAACTTTACCTATAAATGTTAGTATCCAGTTATATTCTGTGTATCTAGGAAAGAATCCAGGCCTTTTTTTAAAGCAATCCACTGAGCTGGCCAGAACCAACTCTTGAGGGAGTCTATTCCACATTTTCACTGCTCTTACAGTGAAGAAACCTTTCCGTGTTGGGAGATTAAATCTCTTTTCCTCCAGACGTAAAGAGTGCCCCCTTGTCCTCTGTGATGACCTCAGGGTGAATAGCTCTACACCGAGTTCACTATATAAACCACTGATGTATTATACATGTTGATCATATCCCCCCTTATGTATTATACATGGTGATCATATCCTCCTTATGTATTATACATGGAGATCATATCCCCCTTATGTATTATACATGAGATCATATCCCCCCTTATGTATTATACATGGAGATCATATCCCCCCTTATGTATTATACATGGAGATCATATCCCCCCTTATGTATTATACATGGTGATCATATCCCCCTTATGTATTATACATGGTCCCCCCTTATGTATTATACATGGAGATCATATCCCCCTTATGTATTATACATGGTGATCATATCCCCCTTATGTATTATACATGTTGATCATATCCCCCCTTATGTATTATACATGGTGATCATATCCCCCCTTAATCTCTTCTTCTCAAGAGAGAATAAATTCAGTTCCTCTAATCTTTCCTTATAGCTGAGCTCCTCCATGCCTCGTATCAGTTTGGTTGCCCTTCTCTGTATTTTCTACAGCGTATAGCTCAAATTTAGTCTGTATATTGCTGGAAACATTTTTTGTAGATATACAGCTAGCCATATACTATTTCTTTTTGTTTTCATTCAGCCAGTTTACTGAATGAAAAAAAATAATAAATATTCCTCCATCCACACAAACGGAGTGGATGGAGAAATCCCCACCGGGACATTATGTTTTAAAGATGCTCCCGCGGCTGTCAGAATACACTGATCAGCTGAACACCTGAGATGAGGGAGAATTTATGCTTAGGGGGTAAGCATGCAGATTAGCACTCAAATTGTTTTTTTTTCGGGGGGGGGGGGGGGGGGTGTAGAGGGGATTTTTGCTGACAGATGATGCTCATACATCTTGTAGGGGGGCTCGGCAGTGGTGCAGTTTGGTATGTTTGCCCTGGGCTCTAGGTGACCTTGGTGATGGCGGTATATGTACTGGAATTTATTTATACTAGTATTGGCGGCAATCAGTGACTTATAGTGGGACTGCGGCAGGCATTCTGACACTAGGTGGGAACTGACTAACTGCCACTGACATCCCCAGTGACACTAATACAGTGATCAGTGCTAATAAAAAGCACTGACACTGTACTAATGGCACTGAGCAGGAAGGGGTTAACATGGGGCAATCAAAGGGTTAACTGTGTGCTGTGTTTTACAATGTAAGCACTTTGCTTTGTATGGCTCTGCTATGCAGAGCCATACAAAGCAGTGTGCAGGAGCTGACGGGAGAGATCTGTATTGTTTACATACAGACCTCTCCCCCCGTCAGTGATACTCGGCAATCGCTGAGTCCTGGCAGGGAATCACCAGCTGGGACCCGGTGATCGACGTGCGCCCCCTACCCAGAAATGCACAATCATGTATATGTACGTCTAATGAGCAGGGCCCACTGTTTCCTCTTGTTCCAAATTGTATTGTAACTGTAATATCTACCTTCATTTTGTAAAGCGCTGTGCAAACTGTTGGCGCAATATAAATCCTATATAATAATATAATGTATGTGATTTTGCTCAGCCCTGACACCCTGTAGCAGTATTTCTGCTATAGAGTGGCGGGCAAGTGGTTAATCAGAATTTTTATGATTGTGACAAGTTTCATTCTATTGTCAATGTTAGTGAATGAACTGTAGATAGTAAGGGGAAAACAAATTCCTAAATCCTTTATATAATATCCTGTAACTTCTAATTGAAAATTTAGGAAAACATAAAAGCTGTTAGATCTTTCCATTTGAAAGATAAAAGGATTACAAAGAACAAAATACAAATACATACAGAAGAAATCCATAGTTCTCTAGACATGTATAAGTGGTTTTTCTGCCACATTTACTTTTCTTAGCAGTACATTGTGTGTTATTTTGTATTCCCAAAGCTGTATGTTACACCGATTTTTGGTTACTAGTTCTATCTTTTACTGTCACACAGTGCTAGATGCATAGCGTGCTGATACTGTGCAATTGCATGTTTGCTACTGTACATCATACTCTGCTTGGTGTCTTATTCTTTCTGGAAATTTGTACAAATTTGGAATAAAAATTATTTGGAGGGAAAAAAAAAAAAAAAGACTAAATTATGTGTTAATATATTAAAGCGGTAGTAAACTCTTATTTAAAAGTTGTACCTACAGTTGAGCTTGCAGTAAGTCTTACCTGTAGGTATGGTGAATATCTCCTAAACATGCACCGTTTAGAATATATTCACATCAGCTCTAGCCGATTGTCACTGTGCATCTGCAGTGACGTTTAGCATTTAGGACCAGTTCACACTACATGCGTTTTCAGTTGCTTTTTTTTTCCTGCATCCAAAATGCACATAAAGTAGGTTATATGGTTGTCAATGTCAGTTCACATCAGTGCTTTCAGTTCCAGTGCGTTCCACAAAAAAAAGTAGAACATGCTGTATTTTTTCTGCACAGAACTGTAATGGAACGCAGTAAAATGCATCTGGAACGCACTGGAATGCACATTTCCCTATTCAAATTGAATAAAAGAAGAGGGTAAAAAAATAACTGGAATGCATAAAAAACACACGGGAACATGTCAAAAATGCACATGCAAAAACTCATCCTGAATGTATCTGGACTGCGTTTCTATATTGTTTTGAACCGGCCCTAAGAGTGTTTTTCCTGCTGACCTCCAGGTTGCTACAGGAGACAATAGTGATGTGGAGGTCAGCAGGAGGTAGTTGATCATCTGTGTACTGTGTCCAAGTAGGATTTCTGCTTCTGCTTTTCTCTTCTTTCACTGCATTTACAATGGTGAATGAGAGATGCACTTTAAATATTCTATAGTGTAGCCATTGCAGCACACATAAGGCAAGGCCAGTGCACCTTACAAGATTTCTATATAATTATTCTGTTCTCCTGTAGGATACTGTGCAGATGACTCTAGTGATTGTTGCTGTGGTGTGTGTGTACCAATTCTGCTCTTTGGGGATCCCATTTACCAGTACATCCAGCACCGTAAGAAGAAAAGAGCAAGGCAAAACATTGGGCAGGTATGACACCAAGGTTTATGTAGAAATTATTCCTCCTCAAAAGTTGCAGCCCTGGTTCCCTTCCCTCATCCAAGTTGCTTTCCTTCATTCTATGGTACATATCGATCAGCCCTAACTTTATGACCACCCACCTAATATTGGGTGACCACCCACCTTTTGTCGCCAAAACAACCCTGACTCATCGAGGCATGGACACCACTAGACCTCTGAAGGTACGCTGTGGTATCTGGCACCAAGCTGTCAGTAGCAGATCCTTTTAAGTCCTGTAAGTTGTGCAGTGGGGCCTCCATGAATCCAGCACATCCCACAGATGCTCAGCTGGATTGGTATCTGGAGGATTTGAAGGCCAAGTCAGAACATGAAATTCGTTGTGTACCTCAAACCATACATGAACCATGTGTGTGGCAGGGGGCTTTATCCTGGTGAAAGAGGAAGTTGCCATGATTGAATACCGCTTCCATGAAGGGTGTACTTGGTCAGCAACAATGTTTAGGTAGGTGGTATGCTTCAAAGTGACATCAATATGAATGTCAACACAATGTTTCCCAGCAGAAAATCACCCAAAGAATCACACGGCCTCCACCGGCTTTCTTTCTTCTTATACTTCATCCTGGTGCCATCGCTTCCCCAGGTAAGTGACACACATGCACCTGGTCATCCACATGATGTAAAAGAAAACCTGATTCACCAGACAGGCCACCTTCTTCCATTGCTTCATGGTCCAGTTCTGATGCTCATGTGTCCATTGTAGGAGCTTTTGGCTGTGGACACTGGGCACCATGGGCACCCTGACCAGTCTGCGGCTATGAAGCTCCATACAAAACAAACCAATGCCCATTTTTAACCCTTTCAACATATTAACGTGTTGTAATGAGATGATCAGTGGTATTCACAGAACCTGCTAGAGGTCATGAAGTTCTGGCTGATTGGTGTTTGTTTGCAGTGGTGGTCATCTTTAGTTCAGTGGTGCTTTCTTGCTTGCCTATTAGAAGCACTTCAACCACTTGTCATCAAAAAGGTCATAAACAAACATCTTGGAACACAAGTGGTCGAAAAAAAACTCACAACTGTTTGGTACCGTTTTGTTTATCCGGCTCTAAGCTATCTGGTAAAAGTGAGCTGCCTGATCACTTTTATGGTACTGTGAGAGTGATGTGCCCTGCCATGGTTTCCAGGCTCTCCTGCTCTTCCGCTGAGGGATCTCAGGACCACAGTAAATGCTGTCAGTATGGCCGGATCTGCTCTGTGATCAATGAACCCAGAATTGTTCAGCTCTGAGCATTTCTGCATTCAGAGCTGTCAATATCCTGGCTGAAATGCCAGGTAAACAACCGATCAAGTACAGTCCTGTGCTTGATCAGCTGGAGTGGAGGGCAAGGGAGAAATTGGGGTCTAATAGACCTGTCACCTGCCAATGATCTTGCATTGGGAGCTTGTTAGCTCCCTTGTGATGGCACAATAAAGTTAGAAAAAACATGTTAAATTAAAATTCTAATAGAAATTTTAAAACATGTTTAAAACAACCCACCCACTCATGAATGCGTACAAAGCACATGTGTATGTAAACAGCAATTGCAAAACGTAAGGTATCGCTGACAGTGTTGGAGTGAGTGTAGTAATCCTAGGGCCATCATTTGCTGTTACCTTTTTAAATGAATAACTTGTAACGTTTTGTTGGCACCCCAGTCACATCAAGCCCGACTTTGAAATTGTGCGACTTACAGTGAAGTCGCACGATTTCAAAATTGGGTAAGGTGCGATTTGCAAGACATCTGACACCAAAAATAGGGCATGTACTACTTTAGAAATCGGTGCGGCTCCAACCAAGTAGGGACCTGCACCGATATGACCGCTGTAATTGCGGTGACTTGGCAAGTCAAATCGCATGCCAAGTCGCACCTGATGTGCCTCGGGGTGTGAAGCACCGACTATGGACAATGAAGCCAAGTTTTTCACTGTTTCACAAGCACATGCAATTTTAAGGCTTGACATGTTTGGGATCTATTTACTCTACACAACCCCATCTTTTATATTTTACAAATATTTTCCAAACTACATCACCGACCTAATATCCAAATACCACCCAAAACGCACTCTCTGCTCTTCACAAGACCTCCTTCTCTCTAGTTCCCTGATCTCCTCCTCCCATGCCCGCCTCCAGGGCATCACCCATCCCCATCCTCTGGAACTCCCTACCCCAATCCATCAGACTATCACCCACTCTTCTCTCCTTTAGGCGCACCCTAAAAACCCACCTCTTCAGGGAAGCCTACCCCACCCTCTAACTGCCGATCTCCTCTACTCTTCCTACCACTCCATCCCCCACAGCTTTTCCTCCCGTACCACTATCCCCTCCCTCCTAGATTGTAAGCTCCAAGGAGCAGGGCTCGAACCCCTCATGTATCGCACTGTATTGTTATTGTACTGTCTCATGTATTGTCTCCCGTTGTAATGTACAGCACTGAGCGAACGGTTGGCGCTATATAAATACTGTATAATAATAAAACCAGGTATTTTATTGTTTGTGTGCACTAAAATGAATTTTTACCTTTTCAATATTTCTTTATTAAGGGTTTACAACAATACAAGATGCATAGAGAGGTGTGAATGCAACTAAAATTACCATAGATTTGATAAACATTATTTTATTCTACAGGGCTTCTGCTTTCATAAAATATTAAAAGAGAAAAGGAAGGGGACAGAGAGGCGTCAGGCCGCCACTGGTGTGTAGTAGGAGTAATTGAATATAAATAATTAAAAGCACTCACAAGCATCAAAAAGCAGCAGACATTGAAACAGCTCAGTCTGAAGCCGCAAGGGAGGCTGGTGAAGGAGGCGTGCTTTGACCTCTGAAATGCATTCCTGATTGGCTATGGCTTGTTTGAGTCTCCTGCAGCAGCTCTCCTGCAGCTTTCTGGATTCCTGCACCAGCTCCTGGGATCCAAGTGGCTCCCGTTGGGACTGTACTTTCCCTTGGTAGCCTCAGACTGAGCTGTTTCAATGCCTACTAGTTTGCTTTTAATTATTCATATTCAATAAATCCTATTACACCAGTGGCAGCCTGGCACCTCACTTTCTGCCCTTCCTTTTCTCTTTTGCAGAGCTTGGGTTCCCAGCCCGTTCAAGCAGGCAGCCTAGCTGTAGCCAGCTGTATTAGCAGGAAATTTAGTATCCGCCTATACCTCCAGGATGTTTTCTTTTGTCATTTTAATTTGTTTTCTTACTCCCAGGTGTTTTTATACACCATTTTACATGTACACATTGGTAGCCTATTGTCTTGCAAATATGTCCACTGTCATTCTAGACCCCCCATACATTATCCAGTTTTGATTGCACGGATTTGTTTTTATCTTGCAACAAGTGCAGCGCTGGCTGCTGGTGCTTTTGTTTCAGAAAATAGTATATTTGAGTTTTAAGTGGTCGTCTATTTAAAAAGAAAAAAAAAAAATGCAGATTTCAATGTGTGCAGAAAATGAAAAAAATTTATCCAAACACGAAGTGGTTAAAAAGAATATTTTGGGCATTTCAACACTTGATTATGATTTAGAAGCACAAATTACTATATATATATATATATACCGGTGTGTATGTATGTATGTATATATATATATATATATATATATATATATATATATATATATATATATATATATATATATATATATATATATATATATATATATATATATAATTATAAAATTTCCCATGATGCTGCAACAAGGTTACATAACATCCCGATCTGTTATTCCAGGGGATAATATAGTATTCCCTAACAGGGAGCTGCTAGGCCTCTTAGGGGAATTTTTATAACTCAGTGAGTGTGACATTCACCAAACATAAACAGGTGGTTAAAGAGACCCTGTCACCAACTTGAAAGAGTGCAAGTAAAAGAGACATAAAAATCAGGTATAATAAATGCCTTTTTGCTGTATTTTTAAAGCCGGCCATACACGGGTCGAATTCCGAAAAAACATTTTCTTTAGAAAATCTTTTCTAAGAATTTTCGTTCAAATTTCGCACCATTAGTGGGCCACAAAAACTGCTGATTTTCGTGCAGCCATCAAATTTGAGTGATCGGGCATGTTGGAAATTTTTTCGAAAAAAAAAAAATTAATTTTCTAATGAGAATCGTGCGAGAAATGTAATTGAAAAAGGCATGAGCTGTGACCTGGAAAGAAAAGAAAATTCTTGGCCACGAAAATTCTTTTCTGCAACAACACGAGGTGAAATTTAAAAGGCTTGGTTGGTTGAATTTCAAAATTGATGGTGGCACAATCGAATTACAAAATGCACAAAATTTCTTGTTTTCTAAAGAAAATTTGTTTGGAATTCAACCCATGTATGGCCTACATTACTCTCATTGTGCCTATGAGCTCACTAGCAAATTGACTGCTTTGGAGGAAGTCCTTTCCCAGCAAAGCCCCCTTCTTCCTTGCGCATGATAACCCTCTCCTCTTCTGGTAGTGCTTAAAGGATAAGTTCACCTTTTGGACAAAAATAATAATTTTTTTGCAGGTAAAAAAAATTTACATTTTTTATTTTTGTCCAAAGGAGCCTGGGAAGCATTGCAACAGCGAACAGTAGATCGCTAAAAACGGGTGGAACATGTAACTCGGGTGTCAAACTAGCAGCCCTCCAGCTGTTGTGAAACTACAAGTCCCATCATGCCTCTGCCTTTGGGAGTCATGCTTGTAACTGTCAATCTTGCAATGCCTCATGGGACTTGTAGTTTGGCAATAGCTGGAGGGCCGCCAGTTTGACACCCGTGCTGTAACTTGTTCCCAAAGGTGATCTTATCCTTTAAAATGCTGTCTGTGCTACATCATTTTTTATGTAGCTGCTGGGGACAGGAGAGCAAAGGGGAATACTATATATATCTTTTTGGGAACATATATCTTTTTGGTTGAACTGGATGGACTTTTCTTTTTTCAGCCAGACTAACTATGTAACCATGTATAGATCACGGGGCTCAACCTTTTTGAAGAGCGAGGGCCACTTAAGTGATTTAGTAACCGGTCCCAGTGACAGTGAAATGGTTCAGAATTTAGAATTTTTTTAATTTTAAATGGCATAATGAACATTTTCCTCCTGCAGCCGCTGAATGCGGAAGGGAGA